ACTACTTCAAATGAATATACAATGGGATCTAAATATCAACACTTACAACTGGGCTGCAACTCATATAAAACCAGGTCTTCTTCTTCACCACCAAAATCATGTGGTTGATCATTCTCAACATGTGTAACAATACATGTTTGTAAATCCATAATCACCAAATACCCTATGTACTCCACAAAAATTCAAAAAATGTATAACACAAAAATTGTAACAATTCAAGAAAAGCAGTAAAAGTGATAAGAACACGGAGAAGGGTTGGTCAGGGAAGGCCGGTGACGGAGCAAGGGTGGGGGGGGGGGGGTGGGGAAGCAATGGATTGAGGGGGGTACCTGAGGGTGGGTGCGGCGGTGGTGGTGGCTGGTCGGCCGCGAAGGAAGAGGCTGGGTCGCCACTCCAATTTGCAATTTGTGTGTCCGATCGATGAAGAATCGATCTGATCTGCAATTTGCAATTTTCAATTTATGGATATCTGAATTTGATAAGAAGAGGAAGATAAGAAAAAAAAAGATATTACCTTCCTTGTATGAAGGGAGAGGAGGTCGTGCGCGGCTGACTGTCGTAGAAGAGCAGAGCCGGAGGGAGGAATGAAAAAAAAAGAAAAAGTAAAAAAAACATCTTAAATAGGGAGGCAGCAATGGAGGCAGGGGTGGGTGCACTGTAGCACGGTCCAGTCATATTTTTACCTTGTCGACCTAAAAGAAGATGGATAAAATTACTATTTATGCACAAAAAAGTTCTTTACCAATTTTATATTATCTCCTCCTAAAAAAACTCTTCCGGTTAAAATTAATTAATTTTAGTATTATTTTCTAATTGTGTCTTTACTTTATAATAACGTAAAATATGGTGTGCAAAATAGATATGTTATAATTCAAAAATAATATCAAAATTACATAGTTTTAAAATGCATTTTTTTCAAATAGGAAAGGTTTTTTAGACAGAGGATGTACTATTTATTCACTCTAACACTAAAATAATAAAACTATCAATTGGTTTAAAATTCTATTTAATCAAATAAGCAATAAAAATAATAAATATAATAAACAAAAAATTGTCGTGAATTTTGAATGGCACAAAGAGACATGAAGATTTTACCTATAAATATTAAAACATAGCGAGTTTTCTAATGTAGTATCATATGTATTTTAGTTTTTCTAACTATTATCTACTACGTAATTAATATCACTGCTAAATATCCACTGCTACCATTGTTCAATGTCCACTGCCACCGCCGTCAATGTCCACCCCACTACTATTCCATCTTCGCCGCCACCATGTACCGCAAGCATGATTCAGATTTGATAAATAATTGGCTTGATTTTGTAGCTATTGAGTCCCTTTTAAAATTTATTTTCAATGCAATCAAGAGATCCAAATTTGGGTTGCTTTTAAAAATTTATTTTCAATGCAATCAATTTGAGTATTTTGTACTCCCTCCGTCCACCTAAGATTTTTCCATTGTGCGTTACAAGGCTTGACCGACTTTATTTTCAATTCAATTTATTTGAATATAGGGATAAAATTTTAGTATAAAATCTATGTAGTAATAAACTACATGAAAAGTTCTACAAAACTAGAAGTGACAACACTATATTATTTTATGAAATGAGTAATAAAAATAAACAAAGTGAACTAAGTTTGACCTTGTGAATAGTGTCTGGGAAGATATATGGTGGACAAAGGGAGTACATAACTCCATGTGATATCAATTGAGGCCTCTTTTGGGAACAATATTTTTCATTCGTTCGCATTTTTCAATATAATTTTAATAGTATTGATTAATTACAAAAATAGATTCGAAAATTAAACGTTGTTGATAAATACTCTAATATTGTTCAAATACTAATTCTAATCTCTAATGGCTATCATTGTCGCCAACGGGTCTTAAAACTTTTTCAACTTTTAGTTGAATAAAAACAACTGTTAGTGGTTAAATTTAATTTTGTAGTCCTAATTGGGGAGTAGGTACTATTATTGTCGATTTAATTTTTAAATGTCACTAAGTTCCCGAATTAAATGAATTAGGGTGTTGCAGGCAAAATTAAAATACGGAGTATATACTACTCCGTATCAAAATGTTCCTTTTATTAATTAAAAGAAATTGTTATAAAGACTGAGATTTTTTTTGAGAAGACTCAAATCGCAAGTGCATGCACCTAGCTTTACACTCAATATCAGTAGTAATAATAATAATAATAATAATAATAATAATAATAATAATTAATAAGAATAACAACAACAGCAATAATTATATTTATTATTATAATTATAATACTTGGCGGGTGACCGGATCGATGAAGGGACTGCTGGGGAATGCTTTAAATTTATGTACCGAGTATATAGTTATACATCATGATATATTTTTTGAGAAGCAATCTATTGGCACGTCGTTATGTTAAAAAAACATAGTCCATATTTGAATTTGATCACATATTAGTGTCCTTTCAGACTCGGTCGAATGATCATTGGAAAGAGATAAATTGGCCTTTGACCAGAGATTGGTGGTAAAGAGTAAAACCTGCACTTGGTACTTGCGGAGATACTATGATTAACATAATTATTACCTCCCAACGCAATTGCCAGGAATCAAGCTCGAATTTTACCCCATTGTCACTCATTGGCTTGTCAATTACCCAACGCCCACTGGCAGCACAGAGTTATGTAATTTGCCGAAATAAAATATGCACCACACCTAGCTAGCTCATACCTAACGGTATTACGGAGTATAATTTAATTACACTTAACACTTATCGGACTCAATTAACAATTTCCCTGTTGAAAATATTACTCCCTCCGTTTTTTTAAAACACTTCCTCTTTCATTTTTTTCACTTTCAACAAAATACTTCCACTTTCTATTAAAAAACCACTTTTACCCTTACTTTTTCATACCCTACCTATCACATCATATTTTATCTCTAATAATCTATCCATCACATCTTACTTTTACCTATCACATCAAGGGCAAAATTGGAAGTCAACTACAATTTAATACTTCCTTATTTTTACACAAAGTCAAAATAGGAACACTTTTTCCAAACGGAGGGAGTACAAGCTAAGCTTTCCAACCCAGGTCTCGCTAGAAAATATTGCTGATCGACAAAATAATAATAATAATAATAATAATAATAATAATAATAATAATAATAATAATAATAATAATAATAATAATAATAATAATAATAATAATAATAATAATAAATGATACTCCGTAGTAAGCGATATTTGTACACATTTGCCTGTGGCGTAGAATAATTCTTCATAAAGTACGGTAATATCAATACGGAGTTTATATGTACAATCCTGTGGTCCCTAAGTGGGCTCTTGAAAGAAATTATTTTATCAAATTATTTATTGGTGAGTTTCTGACACAATAAATTAAATGAATTAAATAAAATAAATACTCCGTAGAATAAAAACAAGAAAAATCCCACCACATCGACTTGATGTCTTGATAATAACTAGATTTTCCTAATGCATGTGTACCTGATGATGATCCATCCACATATATGATGTAGATGGAGACGACCACATTTCATATAATATAATTAATGTTTTCATTATAGTATAGCATATAGTTGTTGAGCCTTCATTTTCATATAATTATAATAATAATAATAATAATAATGGCAGCTGGAAGGGTGTGCTCCATATCTAATTAAGCTAACCAGCTTTAAATGGACTAACCATGTATAAAAATATATGTTTATCGGGTAGCGGTTAAAAACTTGTTGAATTTTTTAAAAATTACTCCGTAAAAAAGAGCACATTACTAACCCAAATCCTACCTATATTTGGCTGATATAATAATTAATTAATCAAAACAAACCAAAATCATACCTACCAAACGAAGCCTAAGAGCCGATTCTCCTCAAATGAGTGGACTCTTCAGGATCATGAAGCCCCCATAGCCTCTTCTGCTGTTGCACCACTAAAACCGAAGCCTCCCCGTTGAACTCCGACGAGGCAATCACAACTTCTCCCACCACCCCAAGCTCGAGGCCGCCGCCGCGCTCGTTCGTCGCCATCCACTTCTTGAGCTGACACATGATCCATGAGTCGCCGTGGCGTCTCCCGACCATGATGAGGTCACATGATGCCCCCATCGTGCCCATAACCCCCACCACGTCTCTAGCGTCGTTCACCCCCACTTCTCTGTAGGAAACCCGGCTGACACCGCCGCCGTGGGAGTGGCTCTTGAATCTCACGTCGTTCAATATCTCGGTGTCCAACATTTGGCTCCTCTCTGTCCCACCCACGATCTCGCACGACGCGGAGCTGCCTGTGGTAATGAATCTGATGAGAGTCAGCATTACATTGGGATCCCCCGAGATGCGGCGCGCGTAGGCCAGGGCTTCCCGATCATCGGCCCCACCGAAGAAGAGCATTGAGACTCGGTACAGCGATGGCGTTGGCGTCCCCTCTACAGGAAACCCCAACCTCTTGTTGTTCTTCGTGTTTCCGCGATCGGCGAGAATCCCAACTGAACACGGGGCGCTTTCAAGGACGTGACTGTTCAGGACCCTGTGAGCGTAGCACGATTCTACCCTCCCCCTGAAAGTCCACTGTTTGTGGAATGGGACGATGATGAGAGTGGTTCTCTTCTCTAAGGCTAGGGTGCACACGTCATTGTGCATCGTTGCAAAGGGCGAGACCCCTTTGTAGCAATGCACAGACATGACATCTTGGTTACGTTGCTCAAACCATCTGAACGCATTGAAGATGTGTTCGGATTGGGTGGGTGGCTTACTATTAAGGGAGGGATTATCATCTTCTTCGTCTTGGTGCGTGTGAGCAATGAAGGAGGAAGATTGGCCAATGAGTTTCACTAGGTGAAGGATTACCAAGTTTATGCGGCTTTCCTTTGTCGGGTTGGAGACTTGAAGGAGGGTAAAGATCCCTCTGACGTTTTCCTGGTTGTGTATGCAAGCCAGGATGCGGAGTTCCTCGTTGTGGCTGCTGTGAAGGATAGTCCTTCGCTTGTAGGCGATGCACCTTTTTGAAGGGTCATATAGTCGCCTCACAAGTGGGGAGATCACTCCTGTTATAACAACCACTGAGATAATGAGAATTGCATAGCATTCTTCTGTTATTACCTGCATATGATGAGCCGTGATTAAATTAATCGGAGTTTCTTTAGGGGACATGCTAAGGGGTTTTATAGTTTCACTTAGATTGATCAAAGTTTAGCCTTTTCTAATATATAACCAAATGATATCTCGACAATAAACAGAATGAAGCGAGAACCACATTGGGACGGACATAAAGGAATGGTGGAAAGATAATTTAAAGAAATGAAACATAATGTAGAGTGACTTACTTGGGCTTGCTTGTACTCACTCAAGAATGCAAGCTCAACAATGCCTTTGGAGTTCATGATGAGTGCCAGAGAAATGGCATCTCGGAATGGCATCCTGTAAAAGAGAAGGGGAAGCATCGCTCCCACAACCTTCCCAACAAAAGCGACTAAAACAACCGACTGAAGCACGCCCACATGTTTGAACTTGTTTATGGAGAAAACATCCATTTCCACCCCACAGATGGTGAAGAAGAGAGGCATTAGCATCACGGAGACAAAGCAATCGAGTCTCTCAACAATTGCAGCTCCCAATGGCGGTCCATTGGGTATCACCAAACCAAGAAGAAAGCAAGCAAGAATCCCACTCAAGCCAATAGCCTCACCAGTGAACCCACAAGTCATTATGGCAACAAGAAGAACAAAAATGTAGTTCTCCTTTACGGGGTTCTCATCTGGGGTATGTCTAGCTGCCCACAGGGCAGCCGGACGGACCACAAATACCAAAAACAGGACAAATAGGGCAGCAGAGAAAAGAGAACTAAGGGTTACTAACAAGGATTCGTCCTCGGCGAATTTAGCAGCATACTTCAAACCCATTACCGACCAATGGCAGATGTCACAGATAAAAGATGAAGAAGAGACTAACCGGCCAATCTCAGAATTGAGAATCTTGAGCTCATCTAGGAAACAAGCAATAACAGGAAAAGCTGTCATGGATTGCATTATAACAACTTGGGGGAGCACCCTAGAGATCTCCTTGTCCAAGGATAAGAACCTCTCGAGAAGAAAGACCGTGAAGCTGGATAGTCCAAACGGGACAAAGTATCCCAGAATGCCCACGGCGAGGGCTTTTCTACTTGACTTGAGAACCATCACCGGATTCATTTTCACCCCAATTAGAAAAATGAAGAGCATGAAACCGAAGACTGATAGTGTGTCAAGTACCCCTCCGCCTTTGATGGGGAACACTTCTGTCAAGAAAGCCCCATTCCTCCCAAGGATTGATGGACCTAATATAACACCACCCTGGGTCAACACAAATGATAAATCCTCAACACATACAAAAACAAAGATCATGTCAAATTCAGCTAGGGTTAGGGATTGAAATCATATCGAATTGAGGGTTTAAACCAGGAGAACGTGAGGAATTGGTGGAATTAAAACACACTAGGGCAAGAGGAAATTGAAATTGCAACTCACGAGAATCTGGGAAACGATGAGGGGTTGGCCGAAGGGCTTGAGGAGGATCTGCATGACGCGGGTGATGACGGAGATGAGGGAGAGCTGCAACAGGAGAGAAGGAAGGGGGTGAGAGAGAATATTGTCCTCGAAGAACAAACCCCTGGAGCTGATATCATCCAGGGCGTTGCATTGGGCGGGGACATGAGGCACCGCCGCCGCGTCGCTCCTCATCGCTGCTGATCCTCAGCCGTGTCCTAGATGGCGCCGCCTCGCCGGACCGCCGTATGGGTTGGAACTTGGATCCACGCTGGTCGATCGGAGCATAACATCACGGAATCATCGCCATTGCCGTCGCCGGTTTTGAGATGCAATTCCAATCGGATGAGGAATTTGAAGATTTGAAATCTGGAGAGGGCCAGCAAAATTTCACATTTTCCCGATTCAAATGCAATTTTGCCATGCATATCAGCTTAGGGAAAGATCCAGCATCGTCATTCCATGTAATAGCCCCTTAGCAAATTCGAAAAAACTTTTTGGACCCACCCTTACCTCTTGATTTTAAACCCAACCGGAGGTCAACCCGGCGGGAGACGGGTCCTGTGAGCGGCAAATATATACTCCCTCCCATTAAAAATTATTTTCTCCTTCCTCGTTCACTTAGTCAAATTTTATTTTTTTTATAGACTTATTTTTGTTATTCTTTTAATGTAATAATATAATCATGTCAATTTAATTTTATAAATCTTTTGATGTAGTTTTTAAATATGTATTTTTATTTTTTAGTTGCGCATCATTTTTATTATAAATACTTTAAACATAATTTTTATCAAACCAACGTAATGTGCAAAAAGAACATACTTTTTGGAAGGAGAGAGTAAATATTAAAATGATAACCTCCCCACCCCAGAAAAAATGAGGGTGTGGGCTGGTAGGGCACCTTGATCCACTCTTGGATCGACCCTGATGAAAACACATAATAAAACAAAGGTTCTCGTGATTTTTGAATGATGAACAATGACATTCAAGAAGCATGTACTAGCACACCAATTCATTTTCCTGTATAGCACACCAATTCTACCTTTAAAAGCGAACGAATATGAACAATTTTATGAGCCCATACATAAGGCAATTAGGTGCACCTCCTCTTTTTCTTTTCCACAACTTAGTACCACGCCATCTTCAGCTTCCCTTTCCAGGAAAATGTCTTCTCCCTTCCACTACAATTTTTAATAATATATTTTATCACTTATTTTAATTTAAACAATTCAACTAAGAACATAAAAAGGGATACATTAAAATTAATTCAAAAAAAAATTAAGAAACTTAGAAATAGTAAAAAAAAATTAAAAAATATAAAAATTAAAAACTGAAAGAAACAAAAAAACTAAAGAATAAAAAAGGAAATGCAAAAAAGGGGGAGAATAAAAAACCTGAAATGAAAAGGAAAGGGGAAAACACGGAAAAAGAAAATGGAAGAAAATCAACAAAAAGGAAAGGGAAGAAAAACAAAAATATTATACAAAAACACTTTGTATGTCTCGTTGGTATGTTGATTGAAGCAATTATATTTTTATATGACATATGGTGTATCATATTATTTTCATTTCAATATAAAAAGGAGTATTTGATAGAAATATTTACACATATTTTTATTATTATTATTATTTTGAAATATACAAAAAGTTTTAGACTCGATCTAGATTCAATTTTTTGCAAGTCTAAGATGTAGGTGTAAGAAAACAAGAAAATATTTTGATAAAAATGGCAAAAAAATAAATGTGGGTATATCTAATAATTAGGACCAAAGTATAATCTATATAATAAAATAGGACATTCAATGTTTCTATTCAACAATAATGACACACAATGAGTGTGCTTTTGCTGAAAATAAAAGCATAGAAAGTTATATTTTGATACAAATTCATTAGTTATTTAAGTAAATTTTTTATAATCGAGTAAATAGAAAATCATACTTCCTCCGTCCCAAAAAGATTTACACGTTTCAAAAAAATTGCGTCCCACAATCTCTTACCCATTTCTATTAAAAAACCACTTTTACCCCTTACTTTTTCAAACCCTACTTATCACATCATACCTTTTTCCTAATAATCTACACATCACATCATATTATTACCCATCACATCAAGGGTATTTTTGGAAAGTCAACACAAAATTATCTCCCCTTAATTTCTACTTTAGTCAAAACGTACCCATCTTTATGGGAAGGAGGAAGTATAATACTTTAAATTAAAATTGTGTAAAAATAACAAAACTTATGATTCACACATTTCTCTCTAAAAAATGTAATGGTATTTTTTAGCCATACTGTGTAAACCCATATGTATATACCATTTGTACACCCACAAGTATGCAACAACTTTGTATCCAAGAAAAGCCCTTTGGTTTAAAAAATACAATGAAAATAAAAAGAAAATATTTCTATCTATATACAGAGAAGAAAGCCTTACTCTTTGCATCTCTGGAAAAGAGTGAGGACTGAGCAGTCACCAGTCACCACCATTGATGCACAAGAACACCACTCTGCCTGAGAGAAGAAAACAGCTCAAGGCATTGATCATAGCTCTTCTCATACTTAGAAGTTCTTCTTCTTCTTCCTCTTCTTCTGTAATGGCATTCCAGAAACAGCTCATCCACCAAGCACATCACTCCCCTCTCAATCATCCTCCGGATCAGATGAAACTCCGTCCCTTCCACATCCATCTTCATCACCACATAATCTGTTCTCTCCAGCCCCAGACTCTCCAGCCACTCTGCAAAATCGAATCCCTGAATCCTCTTATCTCTCCCTCCCAAGAACTCCAGCGAAGATTGCACGGTTTGAATCCTGCCCCTGGGTTCCTCCCTCCTCTTGCTTGGGTCTCTGGTTATCTCGAAGAACAGTGTCTCGTTTCGAATCCAAGCCGCGTATGGCAAGAGCTTGACCCCCTTCTTTGATTTGTACTCGTCGTGGAATGAGCTGTCCGATTCGATTGCGTAAATCTGGAATGGCTTGTTCTGCTTTGGGTAGTGCTTCTTGAACCAGCTTCCGATGCTGGAGCGGTAGTTTTTAGATCCAACGTCTATGTATATGTATCTGTTCTTGAAGCTTATGTCCGCCATTGAAGGGAGATAGGTCATGTTCCTCGAGTTTCTTCTGAGAGTAATCCATGGCTTCAACGGTTCTTCCTGTACCAGTGGCTCTGCGTTTCTGACTAATTCGTGCATAAATCCTGGAACGGGACACTTTGACGAAGATTTCCTGCTCCTGAATCTGATTGAATCGTCATCTGGAAGAAGGGGATTGTCGTCTTTCATCAATACCACTTCGCGAATCGTTTGAGACGGGAAATCGATTCCGTCGATTTCACTGGTTCGAATTACACGACATGAATTGAATAGAGCGAGTAAGGAATTCAGACTGTACGGATCTGTCCCCGATGTGAGGACGACGAAGAAGCCTCCCGGTTTTAGGGTTCGGGAAATTTCGTTCGCGATTTCGATCGGCCTGGCCGTACGCTCCAGATCCATACCGCCGGAGAAGACGAAGTCAAACGATTCGTCTTCAAAAGGGATCCTGGAGGCGCGGCCGTAGCGAACCCACGGTTTCGCGGCGATTCCGGTTGAATCGGCGACTCCGAGATCTCGCAGCGTCGCGACGACTTCGTCGGTTAGAGTGCCGATGCAGAGAGTTTTGGAATCGAGGGAGAGGAATCCCTCGGCGACGAGGTCCTGGAAGAGGGAGGAGTAGAAGTCACGGAGACGGACGACGCCGGCGGTACGGATCGCGTCACGGGAGTCGTAAGTGCTGCCGGTGGTGGTGATGACGTAAGCAAAGCGGGCGAGGAAGACGAGTACGGCGAAGGAAAGGATTCTGACCAGAATATTCCCCAGGCTGTTCAGCTTCGCGGCGGTTGTGTCCATGGAAACACATGAAAATGGGCGCGAAAGGGTTGAAATCTTGACGCCGAGGAAGGGAAAGGTTTTGTAAATTGAATGGGAGGGAGAGGGCAATTTCGGGAGGGGAGAGTAAATCTCAACTGAAAATGGAAGCTTTGAGCGCCAAAGTGGGGGACAGCCGTTATGGACTATGGAGGCTCGGGTGGTTAAATTAACGATATATATGGGCTTCGTTTACCTTAATATGGCCCAATATCAACCGTGCTAAAGTGACACTCGTATAATATAGAGGGTGTTTAAGAGTACTAGATTCGTATCCGTGCATTGCACGGGAGAATTTTGTTATTATATTTGTCATATATTGAATTTAATGAGTAGTATAATTCATAACGAAAAAGTTTTCTTATAAATATTGTAGGAAATTCCAAAGACAGATAAAATTTCTACAAAATTGATTATTACTCCCTCCGTCCCAAATTATAATACATGTTCACTATTCACAGGGTCAAACTTGATTCACTTTTTTTCTCAATTTCCATTAGCAATTTGATAAAATAAAATACTATTATCACTACTAGTTTTGTAGATCTTTTGATGTAGTATTTTAATATGTAATTTTTATTTTTCACTATATACCATTTGTCATATAAAATGATTTGAAAATAATTTCAATCAAAAATCGTAAACCAAAATAGGCGTTATAAAATTGACAGAGGGAGTAATAATTAGAAAACGAACTACATAATATAAAAACATCACAAATGACACCCCACATATGTCAAAAAAAGTGACTATTAACATGTTTAAAATATTTGGAATACTTCTTTGAATACAACATTGGTAGTGAAATATTTTCTAGTATAAATACAATATACAAATTATAATTTGAACTAATTAATGAATACCCCGGAATATAATTTTTATATTTGTTTGTAGATTTGTTGTTTGCACTTTATATTTACAATTAAAATTTACAATGGAGTGTTATTTAAGTATTCAAAATTTATACGGAGTACTTTCTTATAGTTAATTATTAAAAAATTAAATACTTAAATACTTTCAAAAAATTAATTTATATTATAAGTTTAATTAGTTTTTAAAAATAATATAGTAAATTGGCAAATTAGTGTATGTACACATTCTCTATTAGTAAAAAAAGTATGAAATTAGTTTTCATCTGATGTGGCGTTGAGGTGGAAGAGATAGACGATACAATAAGAAGAGTATAAAGGGTATGTATACCCTCCAACCTTAACACACCAAAAACTTACTGCCTCCGTCCCAAATTATAATGCCTGTTTACTATTCACAAGATCAAACTTCATTCACTTTCTTTCTCTATTTTCGTTAGCAATTTGATAAAATAAAATATTATTGTCACTACTAATTTTGTAGATCTTTTGATGTAGTTTTTTAATATGTAATTTTTATTTTTTAATTCTATGCCATTTGTCATATAAAATGGTTTGAAAATAATTTCAGTCAAACATCGTAAACCGAAACAGGCGCTATAAAATGGGACGGAGGTAGTAACTCAAAGAAGTATACATGCATGAGGCATAAATTACACATCCCCATCTAACCACCCAACTACTAAAATCCTAGAAGTTCAACTAGATNCCCAAATTATAATGCCTGTTTACTATTCACAAGATCAAACTTCATTCACTTTCTTTCTCTATTTTCGTTAGCAATTTGATAAAATAAAATATTATTGTCACTACTAATTTTGTAGATCTTTTGATGTAGTTTTTTAATATGTAATTTTTATTTTTTAATTCTATGCCATTTGTCATATAAAATGGTTTGAAAATAATTTCAGTCAAACATCGTAAACCGAAACAGGCGCTATAAAATGGGACGGAGGTAGTAACTCAAAGAAGTATACATGCATGAGGCATAAATTACACATCCCCATCTAACCACCCAACTACTAAAATCCTAGAAGTTCAACTAGATATCTGCAAATAAATTTAATTGTGGGGTGAGACAAGCTGTGTGAGAGTACGACTACACAAAGCAGAAACCAAAAATTACCATACTGCTGTTGTTATTGCCAAAATACATGGAGTTAATTACCGAAACTGAGAAGCCGAGTCTGCCATGGATCAGTTTAAATCGACAAAGGGCATGAGATCAGAAAGATTGATTCTGATCTGTTTGTCAAAACATATCATTGATTATACTTCGGACTCGGGCTTCTTCCTTATATGCACCACAAGTAGTTATAATGACATATGACGTTCCTGGCGTTAGTTCACTTGTTGTGTCAAGTGCCAAAGTTGACCAGCAACATACAATATTAACATCCATAGCCAACGAAACCAGTTAGCCAACAACCTATGACTAAAAGGGCAGTGAAGGCAGGGCAGCCCTGTCTGCCTGCCCCTCTTTGAAAGGGAAGAAAATCAGAACGGCGATTGGCACAAGGGACATGTAGACTTGTGAGAGGTGGAAAACCACTTGTAGAGACAAGCAGAGTGGAACTTATGCTTGCACGTCTTGCACGCCAGACGCGGGAGGCTGTGGTTAGACGTGTGGATTACGCTGTAGCATATCGGACATTCTTCAACCCCTTCAAATTCCTTGTCGAAATTGCTTTTCCATATTCGTATTGCTTCTGCCAAGGCTCCATTCTTGTTGTGTAATAAACAAAAGAAAGTATCAGTTGGAATTCACTCTTCCTAGTTTTTACTTTGATGAATTAAAACAATATACAGGGAACTAAAATATAAATATTATACTTTATATACAAGAGGCCCCATTCACTCTCCATAATTGACAAACTTTTGACAAACAATATTTAAAAATATACAAGGAATAAAAAATACATCTACTTTATCATTTCTTTTTTCACTTAAAGTCAGATTTATGCAGAGAAGAGAGAAATAAAGTGAATTACTCAAGGGAATGTGAAGTTTATTTTAGGACAAACCAAAAAAGAAAGTAAGAAGTTTACTTTGAGACGGAGTATAACATTACAGACTTGTTTACAATTTTTGCTAATATGTTCAAAGAGATTTGTCGGTCAATATTGGAATAAATCAAAGTGGCACATTAAACTTCCTTACCCTTTTAATTCCTATGAAGTTAAGGTCTCTAAATGAAGCAATGGTCTACATCATTGACAAAAATTGTGTAATGGAGTACCTGATTTCGTACAAATGACATCATCGACATCAACCACTTTCTCTTCTTCACTTCACTAATACCAAGACTCCTGGTGCAGTCTACATCAACACACCGCAAAGGATAAGATGCGGGAAGGCGAATTACAAGATCCATTCCTGTTTCATCCTTTGTATAGGTTGCCACAATTTCGTTGGCAGATTTGCTAACACTGACCGAGAAATTATCAACATACTTTTCTTTCTTGATCTGCAGTGAGAAACAAAACCATCAACTATTTTGCAGAAGCAACACATGAATTAATATAGCACAAGGAAGCCCTTATCCACATCATTAACTTCAGGTCAACTAATTTTTATAGACATCAGTGATTTCGCATGCCACTCTGAGATCGGTTTAAAATAACTATCACTTGTAAGAGAATATTTTTTCATAATGTCTGTCACCTTTCATTTTTCAAGAGGAATATTAATTTGATAACTATGCCCCTCATAAATTTTGTATTAGATCTCATTAATTCTTATTGAAAGGGCAATGTGGTTTTTCTAAACATAATCATACATATTAAATGAATTTCTTAATTCGTGTAAAACACTTCCTTGACGCCATATATTTTGGAACGGAAGGCCTAAGGAGTACCATAGTTGATAGTTAATACAAATTTGAAAAGTTCACATGAATTAAGCATTCATCTATATGGCTCATCCAGGGTAGTTGCCATTTTTCATATTATTATTATTTTATGAGTTACATGATATATGTTATTTAATAAATCAATATAGCTCCATACTAGAAATTATCAAGCTTCTTCCGAAAACCATTCGCCTTATCTCCAAAATCTGGTTAATAGCTTTCGAAATAAAATTATAAAGACTTAAAAATTAGAATACAACCCCCCCCCCCCCCAAAAACCCCAACCCCAACCAGAGCATCTGTTAGTTAACTAAATATCTTGACTCCATGAAAGATCTTTGACAGAAATGAGGCTGAAAAAAACAGAGAGATCAATAGGGGATAAAGTTATAGGGTTTTACTTAAAAGGTGTCCTGTGATTCCTTTGAAGAAGAAAAATAGTCAGACAATTCTTAAATTATGATGGAAATTCTTGAGATCAACGTCAGGTGCACAACATACCTGAGAGAGTTCCATTGCAATGAGAGGTGGGCTACAATAGGATTTGGTAAAGAATTCAACAGCAGAAGATGTGGAACGATTACGTATATCACTGAACCACGCCCGAACATACGCCGGAAGAGTTTGAAGCATGAGACCAAAAGTAGCACCGGCAAGACATGCGACCTTTTCTGGTTGAACAGGCCAAAGTGATTCCAGAGCAAAAACAGCTGAACCACAAGTGATGACACGTGTTGCAGCTCTTGCTGCTTCTGATATTGAAGCAGGAAGTTCTAAATCCTTCTTTTTCACAACTGAAGGTGCACAAAATTCCAAAGGAATGTGCATAAAAAGACAATCCAATATACTTGAAGAAGAAGAATCTTGGATGTATTGGACGATTTTCTCCCTGGAAGGTGATGATGACGGTAAAGAAACTAAATGTGAGAGCAACAAAGACCAGGCAAGAAGGATGTTGATCTGTGAGATGTAGAAAGATGTTAGAAAATTAAACCTAAAGCAAATCTTGTATCTCCTGTCAGATCATATATTCATATTGTTGAGTATATATAAGTCAGAGCATTATATGGGGAAAAAATATCTAGATAAGTAACTGACATGTTCAGCTGAGAGCAAATCCATTTCAAGAACTTGGCTTGGATATTTTTCTAGCATGGAGGAAATTTCTTCCCTAAGATGAACACTACTTTCTTCATCAATTGGTTCAAGACTACGATAATCCTGGTTATTGGAGATGTCTCCATTCATAAAACTTCCGTTATTCTCAGTCACAAAAGCCAAGTATGATACGGGTTCTGCAGAAAGAACAACATAAGCAGCAAACTGTAGGGAAGGAAGTGGCTTGTGAGAGAAAAGCAGCGCAAAAAGAGAGCTAATTGGCCCTTTACTTAGTCCCCAGATTTCAACTGATTTAACAGCCTTCTCTCTTGCTCGTGAAGATGATTTAACAACATTTGAAGCAACCAAGCCCCAAAATTTAGATTGATGAAACCGAGAGGATGCTATAATGGAGGAAGCTTCAGAACAATAGGAGCTTGATATTGCCTCAGCAGCAGCTGTGGAAAAAAACAAACGAAGAATACCTTCTAGAATCCTGTCTAAAACTATCTCCCATTTATCCATCAAGGGACTAGAATTTTCTGTTCCATCCTTCTTTTGGAGCTCGATAATTTCAGAAAATAGGGAAAATCCAACAAGAGCATTTCTAGCAAGTTTGAAAGTAAAAGGATCTTTAACTGAAACAGTATCTTCAAGCATCCTCAAAGTTATTTGTAAGTCAATGGGTGTGGAACTGTGAGTTATAGCATCATTTACATTCTCAGCAACTTCCTCCATTGTAACAACTGCCAGTTCAATCCAACGCCTCAAATGATAAATAACAAATTCCCAATCCTCTTCAGCAAAGTCTTTCCAACAATAAGCAATGGAAACCAGAATAATCTTCGATAACAAAATATCTACAACTGGTAGCTTGTTCACAGAAGATGGTGCAGCGTCTTTCTTCAGTCTTTGCTTCCGAAATAATTCAATCAAAAGCATCTTTTCCTCAGAGCTGACATATCTTTCTGTGCAAAAACTTTTCTCACCTTCCACGCCTCTTATAGGGTAACAGGCCATGACCAAGTGAAACCAATCTTCCATGCCTGAAATTAGAGTAAATTAATTAATAAATACTCCGTAATAAATAAATAAATAAATAAAGACATCAGGAAAACTATAACTGATTCGGGAAAGATGACAACTTTCTAAAATCAAGAAAATGTAATTGGAAGTGCCAAAGTGCCACAAGTCTTTCAATAAGAAATGGAGAATTGGCAGGCTCCGTCAAATGATGCTTTGTAATTACAATAGCACATATTGGAACATATTTAATCTTGTGCAAATCAAAATACATATAACCATTTTACAAATGACTCCTAGTTCGTATGTATAAATAGCTCATGGACCTCTATGCTTAAATTAGTCTCACACTCTCACTGCTGAGTTATCATTGACCACTAAAGTCCTGGCAGTTCTACTTCTACTAATATATATACCTTCTCCTGTTAGCCACACATTCAAAGGTGGGAATGACAGAGTCTGCTTGAGCCACACCATCATCACCTCTTGCATTTCACTACTCTGGGATGAATCAGACAGCATTCTCTCATCAACTGTGTCAAAGACAATACTCAAGGGCCTAATAAGGACATCAACAATGGGTGGAACTATCCTCAAGCAATTTGCATTTATTGTTTCACCAAAATTGAGTTTGGTTAGAATCAATTTAAAATAGAATAGAGCTTTTTCCTTGTCCCATATGTTCTCATAAAAAAGAGTAAGTAGTAAGGAGACAAGAGCTCTCAAAAATGGCTCTCTAATCATGTCCACCTCATCAAGTGTAACAGGCCCTATGGTAGACAAATTTAGCCCACAACTTCCTCCGTGAACAAGAGCACCATCAACTAGGATGGTGACAAGGGAATCCAACAAGCCAGCTTCATGACAATAACTCTCACTCTTCACATAAACAATCAAGGAAGGTAAGAAAGAACTCAAAGCACTGCCACCAGGCCAACTCCATGTACATAATATCTCTGCTACCAGCCAGGCACGTGAATAATGAGAGAGAGAGGTGGTCAGCTCAATGTCAGCAATCTCAGTTGACCGTGAAGGGGCAGCACCTCCAAAAAATCTCTGAAATCCTAATTTGGATATAAGCTTGCCAATAAACGAAACAAATTTGAGGGCTTCAGAGAACTCTGCCTGCAAAACGTATCCACATCCACACATAGATAAGTATATTAATGAAATCATGCCCCAAACACTGAAAATTGAAATGCCAGGAACATAACATTGACAAGAACATATTACTGTATAGTATAGATAAAATTAAGAATAATTCCATGCATAATGTTTCTATATTCTGCATTCAAGATATGGCTAGCATATATTATCAAGAACGCTTGAAGAAACAGTAGATCTTGTGATAAACCCAGAAAAACAGTTTGAACAAATAATTTTGCATGAAAATCCGACTAACATTAAAAGAAAATTTTACCTTATCCAAACAGGTTGTTCTTTCTCTGATGTTGAAATTTGGCAGAACCCATTGAGGCCATGAATCACTCTGAGAGAGAAGATTATCAAACAACATTTGTTCCTCGGATTCCTCTTGACAAAGACACAGAAGTTCATCAATCCAGTTACAGCACATAGATGTGATTTTTCCATGGTCTGAGTTATCTTCCTTAGTGACAGCACTTCTTACTGAGTTAACCAAAATGCTTTCAAGGTTCTTCTGAGTACTAGCACCAAGGCTCTTCAAGAACTTGCGGTCAATCTTGTTGCGCAACGCATTCACAGATTTACAAGATAACAACCTTTTTTCAATATTTTGTTTAATATCTTCTGCAAACTCATCGAGGAACACAGTTGCCATGCTACATTCCCAATCAATCACGAACACCGCAGATAATATTCCTGAAATTAGCCAAACCTCATCAGTGAGATGCTTTAGCCTCAAGAAAACACCATCAAGTACTTGACATGCAAAATGAGCCATATCATGTACATCAATAGAAGATTTACATCCCATGTCAGACTCAGCCCTTTCTATTGTTATCAACGAGTATGTGTCTCTAACCCATGCAAAGGAAGAGCCATTCATGAAAATTGTCAACTTTCTAAGCACTTCCTTAAATACTATAACTGTCACATCCATGGACAGGAATGAAGCTCCACCATCTCCCACCATCCCGCCAAGTGCAGCACTGTAACATGAACAATAAGTAATGAGAAATACAAGGAAAATAAATTTGCAGACGCCACTGGACTACATAAAAGAGGGAAGAGGGGACGGCGGCAGGGGTGGGTGGGATGGGCTGGTAGTTGGGGCTGTTAGTTTTTTTAAGATCCAAACCAAGGATCTCTATCAAAAGGACCATATCAAGAGTTCACACCTAATTGGAGTTCACACTTAGCTTGAACCTCTCCCAACACACACACAAACATGTATATATAGATGTAGACATGTAGTTTACATAGTACCAGCAACCAGCAGTTAAGCACAGAAAAATTAAATGTGGTTTGATGCCGTAGAGAGCATCTATGTACAAAATAAACTAAATATTAGATCTGTCACCTACCGCACAAAACGAGCACTGCCTGCTCCAAAAGAAGGAAACTCACGGACAACTGCAATTGCAGTGGAGTCCAAAAGTTTATGTTGCCAACTTGCTGCGCAAGAGCCTTGTAGATGACCAATACTTTGAATTCTTTCTGTTGCTTTCTCTAAAAGCATAGCCAACACAGATATGCTGTCAGAGTCTGAATTCTTAACCGTGTTTTTAAGGTATTCTAGATTTGTTGCATGAAAAATAATGATATCCCATTGTTCTGAAAAGCA